TATCTTCTACACCTTGAAGAAACAAGGTGTACGAGCGTGTAACTTGTTATTGGCGAAAGATGAAAACCTGAGTTCTGTTTTTATCGATTCGCGTTCTAACGGTTCGCGTTCACGGTTACGTACTGACTTATAAAGTGTCATTACGATGACCCAACAATGAGTTATTGGCTTTCAAAGTACCCCGTTAAATCCTCTACTTGGCTTCGTTCCGCTCGCTGCCTGTTACAGGCCAAGTGGAGGATTTATGCTTGTGCTTACACAGGAGACAACTTCATTTCACTGGATTTCAAGGAAACAACTTAATTGCTTTAGTGCGACGCTTGCAGGCTTTAGAAACCCAGACCAGGATACACTCGCGGATTAAACCCTTCGCCATGGGAGGAGGAGGAGGAGGAGGGAATTAATTACGCGAGACGACTCCAAGATTTCTTCCCTCCCCTCCGTTAAAAACCGTTGCACGGTTTAAACCACGTTTGAAACACGTGAACGCACGAATCTTTCTTTCTTGCTTTCTCGTGGAATAAATTGAACAAACGATGGAAAATTCGAAGGAAATTATTTTTCCCACGACGACGACGACGACGACGGAGGTAACGACGCCAGGGTGGGGCAGGGGGCGAAGTAACCGGATAGGATTGAAAAATAAAAAATTGTTTTTGATTCTAAACAACTGGTTTTATTTGCCGCGTACAAACGGAATAAATAACCGGTAGACCGATCGTTTAAATAGCATTTTATACTAGACTGGTCGCGACTATCCGCGTGTTTCGAAATCAATTTCCCGCGTGGACGTGGAAATGGAATCGACAGCTCCACAGCGTTTTTTCCCGTTTGTTTTTTTTGTTGATTGAAAATTCATCTTATGCGATTAATATTCTCGTGTACAAAACTCGTGCAAAATAGAGAAGTTACAGTGGAGATTTTTAGAAAGGAATGTATATATATATATATATGTGTGTGTGTGTGTATACACACGAGTTTTAAAAATATATTCGAGTTTCATTCGATTCATAACCACGCGAGCAATATTTTCCACCAAAGTTGCGTTTGATTTACGTTTCTTTCTTTTTAATTTATTCTTCGATTATTCGAAATTCGCGAGAATTTCTACGATTCGTGAGAATTAGAGTTAACGAGGGATATCGGATCGAGTCATACATTCTCCAAATTCACGATCGATGAAACATAAAAATTACCGCGATGTCTTGAAAAAAATATAAATTTCCGATCGATCCTTCCACAAAGTAAAAGAAACGGGAGAAAGAGAGAAAGAGAGCCGGATATAAATATATCAAAGTCCTTGTTCCACCCGTTTTCAGGATTTTCGATCTCGACGAGAGAACGGAGGCGTCATCACCGTCAACGAGAGAATAAAAGGGGACGAGCTCGAGGAAGGAAAAGAGTGAAAAACGGAGAGAGAGAGAGAGAGAGAGAGAGAGAGAGAAACACGAGTCACGAAAAACGACACACGTACACACAGAGAAGGAGGAGGAGGAGGAGGAGGAGGAGGAACCGGGAGGGAGAAGAGAAAGAGGTGAAAAAAGGAAAGAAAGCGCAAAGAGAAAAAGTAAGAGAGAGAGAGAAACTGTGTTTCGACGCGATTATTATTCGCGGTCTATTCCCAGCTACCGTTCATTCCACATTTGTTTCCGACGTTGAACATCCATATCGCCCTCGAACGGGCGATCATACACAATGGGCTTTATCGTACCTTCCTTTGAAACTTGGAGCGCGATCCCACGCTAATTAACGAATCATTCATCGGCGCTGTAATTAACGAGGCCGACTCTGTCGCGGATTATCCCGGCCAGATCTTTTGCGCATAGACGTCATGTGCCTGCGGTTACGTTACTGAATATTGTTGCTCCCCCTCCTTGCAAAACAGTGGGGCCCGCGCCACCGTTTTGCACCGTTGCGAAAAGGGAGTATAGAGGATCTGAGGAGAGAAACAGATATAAAAATATATATTTATATATATATATACACGCGCAGATATATCCTTACGACGTTTCCTGCATCCTCCGGTTATTTCAATGGCGTATGTCCGCGCGAGATTTCTCTTCTTGTTCCCCCGCTCTTTTTGTTCCCCCGTATTTCTTTTCTTTTCTTTTTTTTTTTTTTTTTTTTAAACGGAACGCCGTTACACTTGTCACCGGGATAAACACGTCGCGCGGCGTGTTAATTAGATCGGAGCGAGAGGGAAAATGTTGGATATGATAAAGACGGGAGGATCTCTACGTTCTACCCTCCCTCCGATTAATTTATGGGGAGAACGATCTCAAAAGCTACGACTTTCTCACGAATATCAATTTTAATACGATATTATTGTCGCGAGGAGGAGTTTGCTCAGCCGTTACTTTTTAAACTTTTACTTCGAAGAATCTTTTCTTATTCTTATTCTTCCCGTAAAATGGAGCGCGAATCGAAGATGTTTCGAGGATAGAAGATACGATAATATAATTTTTTCCCCTCCCCCGAAAACGAAAAACGTTTTGTAACGATTGGAAAAGTTAACTTCCCTTTTGAAACGAATTTTGGAACGCACGTACGTGTGTGTGTGTGTGTGTGTGTATGCGTGTATAAAAGGTGGCGAGGCGAGATAAATTCGCGGAGAGCGTCTAATTCAGGTAATATTCTACACGGGAATCCTTTCTGCTGAAATCTCTTCCACCCCGGTGAAATGCTATTACCGTATCAGTTCAGCGGCGGGGGAGGGGACGGGAAGGGCGCGTTAAGCGGCGAGACACGGGGGGGTGGTCGGGGAAGATTGCGAGCTTTTCGTCTACTTAGCCGACCTTGGCGAGGCCAAGACCTGGCTCGTGGATGCCGTAGGCAACGATTTAATAATAAATCAAACCAGGAGCGTGTACACAGCTCGTGCGCCCGTGTGTTGCTCGCTTCCTCCGCGCGCGGAAGACGCTCGTCGGGGTGGGCGAAACGCGAGGAGACGACGACGCAGGGGAGACGGCGGTGGTCCCTTCCTCACGGGACGGCGTTCCTTACTTCGACGGAGGCTCCTCGACTCGGCCCACGCGCGCCGCCGTTTCATCCGCTGATGCATTATGCACCCGTTGCCTTAATCGATTCCCTCCTCTACTTTCCTTTTCGCGACACACGATCCCCTCGAATCGGAACGGCGATCTTTTCACTCGGCGCGCGACGGGAGGATTTCTCGAGGATTTCTCGAATTATTTAGAGGGGGCGATTTACATGGACTGGCATAAAAAAGAGAATTTCTCATCTCGATCGGGTTTAAGCTTCAAGTATTTGGAAAGTATTTTCCATAAAAATTCTATATAATATGTACGTATTTTATGAGAGAGAGAGAGAGAGTTTTTCGAAAATTTTAAATTCCGCTTCTACTTAAAAAAGAAGATAAAATTAAAATCCGATTTGGAGGAGGAGATACACCCTCGACGGCGAGGATGATCTCCATTCGAATAATCTTTTCCCTCCCTCCCGAAGTGGAAAGGCACTCGCGTCCCGAGTGCACCGTCGCACAGGAGTGGAACTTAATCAAATGGTAAACGGGTGGAAAACAAGCAATTGGAGGCATCGAACCGGCGAGAAGAGCGAGTAAGCAAGGCAGCCACCCGGTTATATATACAGTGGGGTGCCGTCAATCGGAAGAGGGGGAATGGGGAGAGGGGGGGGTGTAAATCTGATAAAATCATCTCGAACCCTCCCTCGGCAGCCCCTTGTGGCGCGGCTCGAGTTCCTCGCCGAGATATATCCGATATAGAGAGGCCGGTAACGGCCCTAAGTAACGTAAGTAATGTAAGAGGGTGGTTGTTGCTACGGTTGTTATTAAATGAGACAGCCTAATAGGCCCATTACGGACCCCCTCGGTCCATTCCCACATAATATAATCCGAGGCAGCCAGCCACGCGTCCTCTCCACTACCTATTCTTTATCACTCCTCTGCTTTATCACTCCTAAGAGAAAACGCGCAAGATATGCACGGAATATATAATATAATCGAGGCGAAAATCCGATTTCCTCGAACCTCTGTCCATCCGTATCCCCTTCTAATTTTGGATCGGGGGAATAATATTTGGAGGAGGAAGAGGAGGTGTCTTCTCGCTCATCGCATTCTGCTGCATCGTAGCCGGGCACACAAGAGACAGTTGGATATTCGAGAACGCTTATTTTCGATGGTGTTATTATTATTCGAGAGGCGCCTTTGATTCTGTCCTCTTTCCCTCCCGATCGGTTGTTGACGTTTGATCCGAGTGACGAAGTTTGGGGAAAATAAGGGAGAATGGTAGAGAAATATCCGGAGATTTCTACATCCCCCCCTCTCTCTTTCGGGAAAATAATAATCGTAGAAGAGAGATTGGAGAGAGAGAGATAAAGTTGAACACGTGTCGATTGATCGTTGCCGATCGATCGTTAATTCGTGTGCCGCGGATGAAATAGTTATCGCGTGGTCGACATCGATATAAAATTGATGGCGCGCGCTAATTCCTTATTAGTAAACATTCATAGCGTAGTGTTGAATCGATCAATGGATATCATCGCTTCGACGATTCGACGAATATTGGGATACCAACCCAAAGATACAAAATCCTGTGGTAAACAAATCGATGGAACGCGCGTGTATCTCGAATATTTACCATATACATTCGAGTCTTAATAATAACCACGATTCTTAAAATTTACGCGATTTAGAAAAATCCCCTCCTCCCTTTCCGTCCAAACTTCTCCAATCGTGTATCGATTCGACCGGAAACCGGATGGATTCGACGAGCATTAACTCGGCACCGCAAACAACACGATGCGAAATCGTAAAGCGCCGATCAAACCACGAGCGGCAACGAGTTCAGTGGAGCACGGGGGTGGGGAGGGGGTGAGATTGGTACACCAGAAACTATCGCACGCCGCAACCGCACAATATTCCCGTTCGAAGTTCCATCAAACGGTGTATACACCGTGAAAAGCGGATCGATACAGAGAGAGAGAGAGAGGGAGAGAGAGAGAAGGAGAGAAAACGTACATACCTCGACAACATCGCCAAGTCGGCCGACGCTTGATGGCCGAGCAAAGGGTTAGCTGCGGCGTCGGTGGGCGGCGAGAAAGTGGACGCAGGGCTCGTGGTGCTGGTAGCGCATCCGATCCCCATGCCGCTCGCGTTGCTCCTGTTCTCGACCGCGTGGCCGAGGGTCGAGGTGCCCCTCTGGCTGGCCGAGAACCTCAAGGACGTCGGAGACGAGAGGCCACCCCTCGCCGGGCTGTCGTCGATCCTCTGCGTGTTTTGCGCGTTGTGGGGTAACGGCGAGCCCCTGTCCACGTCCGACGATTGCCTCTCGGCCGAGACGGTGGACGTCGAGTCGATCGGCGGCGACTCGGGCCTTCCAAGGATGCTGGATATGCTGAAGGACGTGTACTGGGGGTTGCAGGCGGGCCTCAAGGCGGGTTTGCCCACGTCGAAGCTGAACGGGTGGTGGTTGTTCAACCCGCAACCGGATTTCCCGTTCTTCTCCTCCCGAAGGAGAAGCTCGGCCGGCGTGGAGCTGCTCCTCGAGCCCTCCAACTCCAGATCCTCCTCGGAAACGACCGACACCTCGATCTCCGTTTCGCCGGACATCATTGACGAGTCGAAGGAACCGCGGGCGCGACGCTCCTCGGACGAGGCTGTGTCGAGTTGCGTGTCCACAATGATACAAGAGCGGTCACCTCTTGTCCCGAGCACGAAAGCGGCGTGGTCCCGTTGCACTGGGGGCCCGTCCCGTCAGAAGGGCGGCACGACCGTCGACGACGACGGTGCGACGGCTGGGCGACACAGTCTATCCGACACGCGGAGCGGCTCGAAGCGCGGCTCGCGTCGCATATCAAGCGTGGATGTTTTTGGCGCGGCGCGGATGGTGGTCGTGTGGTGCACACGGTTGCGTTGGCTAGCGGGCACGTCGCGTCGCCTCCGACGGCAGGCGGACGTCGTGGCGGATCGGTCGGTCGCGCGGCGACATTCGTAAGCGATACCCTGGACGACAGGATGACGAGGAGACGAGACACTTGGAGGGCTCACCCTTTCGAGAGCCACCCTCTTTCGGAGCCTCCCTCTCGTCCTTCAACCGCCTCTCTCATCCACCACCACCTTTTCTGTCTTTATTTCTACGCGCGCGCGCGCGTATGTGCGTGTGCGCGTGTGTGTGTGTGTGTGTGTCACGTTGCGTGCGAGTGTCTCTCTGGCAGCGCACAAGTGTGCGTGCGTGCGTGTGTGTGTGTATACTCCTCCTCCTCCTATCACCACCGCCCACCACCCTGACACGTAGCCGTGTCTTCTCCTCTCTTCCTCGTCCACCGACCGATCTCCTCTTCCCCTCCTCGCCGCTAGTCCATTCGCGAGACGTTCCCGTGCGTGTAAAACCGCGAAGAGTAACACGAAGTCACTTCCTCGAGTCACTTTCTCTACCACTGATCGTTAATCACACTCCGTGTTTCTCTTCCCGTCTTCTCCCTCCTCCTTTCCTTCTTCTCTCCTCTTTTCGTTTCCGTTCGTATCACGGACGAGGATCGATGGAGGATGCACGTATTACGTATACGTTGTACGTGACAAACAATTATTTATTACATATATACACTCCAGCGTTTACGCGATTCGCGAGCAAGCAAGCACGGCGGTCGTATCACGGGGGATGATACGTTTTTTTACGAAGTTTCGAAACCACGACGACGACGACGACGACGACGAGGGAGAGTATCCGGCGGATAGCACTCGCGAATGTTTGGGATCGCGCGAACGCTTGTAAAAATCCGGGGTGTACGCCCCGGAGTATCGGATATGATGGACTGCGGACGGCCACTGTGCTCGCACTAAGGGTAGGAAAACGGCAGAGAAACCACAGGTCACACGAACGAACGGCCTTACTCGAACATTCGCGCACGCAGCGTTACGGAGCGCGCGGAGCGACGTAGTGAAAGCGGTGGAGACGAGGCGGAGTGCGAGCGAGATGGGTGGAGAGATCCAGCGGCGAGGGAGAAAGAGATAGAGAGAGAGAGAGATAGAGGGAGAGAAAGGAGGAGAAGGAGACGAGGGTAGTAGGCAGGGTGAAGAGAAATAGAGAGAGAGAGAGAGAGAGAGAGAAGGAGAAGATGGAGACGGAGAAGAAGGACAGAGTGTGGAGTCACGCTTCGAGAGTCACGGGGTGGTAGTGGTTGCGCGTCGGATGGATAGGCGACTGGGCGAAGGACGGACGTACGGTACGAAGGGATGGTTGGAACGAGAGGGATGAACGAGCGGCCAACGCTCGTGGTGGTGGGGTGGGGACGGCCGGAGAGGACGGCTGAGCTGCAACTTGGCGGAAGGGGTGTCGTGGTTGGAGGGGCGGGGAGGGGGAGGGAGGCGCAGGGGGCGGGGCGAACGGGCCACCGTGGGGGATGGATGTCGCGATTTCTCATAGGGTGGAGGCGCGATCGATGACTCGTGGCGGAGTGTATCCGGCACGGGGGTAGCCGTGGGCGCGGGCCAATCGCGTGAGCCGCGTAGTCCTTAACTCGAAAGATACTCGGCCCTCCGACGATCCTGCGGATCGTGGAACGGGGTGGTGGTTGCCGTTGCCTCGTCGCCTATGCCACCCCGTGTATATCCTACCACCTCCTCTGCCCGAGCGCGGGAGCGGGAGGGGGAGTGGGGATAACACACAACTCCGCCGGCTGGTGGCCGTGCCTCGCCGTGTTACTTATCCATTATAACACTCCAAGATCTTGATTTAAGCCTGCAGCCAGCGGTGAGCTTTTAACCAATTAGCCTTTATAGCCTACCCCCTCCCCCTCGACACCCCGTTCACTAGTACTCCTCTCTACTACTACCCCGTGTGCTGCTACCCCCCTGTCCTTCCCGCACCGCGCCACCCCCCTTGTCCTCGCGAACGCGCGCGTTCGTCAGCCATACCCCTCTCCCCCTCCCCCTCCCTCCTCTCTCTCCTCTCTCTCTCTCTCTCTCTCTCTCTCTCTCTCTCTCTCTGTGCCCGCCCGCCCATTTTAGCTTGCCTCTCCTCCTCCTCCTCCTCTTCCTCGCTCTCTCGTGTCCCTAACCGGTGCGCCACACCGATAGTAGTTGCCGTGCACCTATATTCTGCTATTCTATACCAACGTCCTCGCCGCAGTCGCGCGATGTACCCACCTAATCTACTGCTTCTCTCCCTTCCACCGCCTCCAACCCTCTAGTTACCTCTATCCGTTAACTCCCTCTTTTTCTTCGCCGTGACTCCCTCCCTCTCCTCCCCCTCTCTCCCTCTCCTCCCTCTCTCTCTCTCTCTCTCTCTCTTTCTCGAAGCACTCGTTCTCTCATAACCACATGCATTATGCGCGTCGGTGTATCAGAGCCGCGTATTCGCGCGTGCAAATAACCCGAGGAGAGCAGGGGGGGAGGATGAGTTCTCCCCGTCGGTTCTCCCGTCGTCGGTTTAAATACGCTACGGTGACGGAAATTAAGAGTGGACGAGCCGCGATACCTACTTTATCAACGATTTCTCTCTTCTCGATCTCTTGGAGAGGGAGGGTATATTTGGAAGGGGGAGGAGAAGTGATTTTGTCGTTTTCGTGATATCGATACTCCGATGATCAAAGAGAGAACCGATTCTTTTCTTTCTTTAAATAACGTTTATCACTAGATCTGTTGATAAAATATAAACATACACATACAATATAACAAAGCTCTTTTTGTTATATATTTGCAAATATATTCGGAAGATCATCGAGATAAATTTTCATCGACATCATCGGACGGAACAGTTGGCCATTATTTAATTTAACCACCGCGAGAATTACACAGATACTTATTGGTACAATTTATCCTAAAATCACACATTGATCATCGTAACAATTTTCCTCGCAAGAAAAGAAAAAAAAAAAAAGAAAGAAACATCTCTCGACGTAATTCGCGCGATAAAGGATGGAAATCGTTTCGAATCTCGGCACCAGCCTCCCTTCCACGAAGGAATCGGCGAAGGCAGGGCCGGCTAACGAGTCCGGAGGGCTCCTTTAACGACCCTTTCATCCCCGACATTAACAAAACGCGCGCGTCGCGCGGGATAATGGGCCGGTCCTCGCCGCGGATCCACCCGGAAGGGCAGAGAAGCGATTCGGGGAGGGCCGGCCGCGCGAAAGGGCGCCAAGTTTGTCGACGAAAGTAGTAGGAGAGAGTGATTACACCGGCTGCGGAAGGAAGGAAAGCCGTCCCCTGACTAAGAAAAAAGAGAAAAAAGGGTCAAACGCGTTCCACGCGTGGAAGGAGGCTGCGACCTGGGTGACGGGCAAAGCGAAAAAGCGTTGCGCGACGTCGTTCACGTGTCTCTCTCTGCTCACCCTTCCCTCCCCGCGCCTCGAAGTAACGAGAAACCGTTGACCAACCCCCGGAGAAACGAGCGGAAACAGGCAGAGACGCGGCTCCAGTTTCACTGTAACGAGGTTATATCGAGACGTTGCATTCATACGTTCCAATCGTGTTAAACTCGTGCTCCCGTAATAACACGGGGATGTTTTGGATCGATGCGATTAGATTAGTACGAGTTTTGGGGCGAATTTTTCTATTTAATAACGATGAATTAGTATTAAAGAAAAAAAAAAAAAAGAATCGTCAAGAGGAGGTTAAAAAAGAGGGAAGAACTGGACTCCGCTCGTCTCGATTATAAATCCATGAAAAAAAAAAGAAAAAGAAAAATCACTCTTTCTACGCGGAAACATCGGTAACCGAAACAGGCCAGGCGGTCCTTGTGTTGTCCGCATTTTACTTTGTGCCCGATGCGTAAGAGGATTATATACATCCTCTCTTCCTCCTTCCATCGAGCGACGAACAGGGATAGACACTTCTAAACGAGACGAGAAGAGAGATAGATAGATATAGATAGATAGATAGAGAGAGAGAGAGAGAGATTCCCTCGAACGATCCTGGAAGAGGGAAACGAAAGAGCGAAACAAATACGGAATAAGACGCGACGGAGGAGGACAGAGATGGATGATGGAGCAGGGTGAGGTAAGTGGTGGATATGTATTCACTTTTCACGGGGGCGCCATTGTTCCCTATTATCCGTCGTGATTAGTCGATGATGCAGGTAAGCTACCACGGGGGGTCCCCATTATACCGCGGCACAACTCGCTCATCCGCGAACTGCGTGAGTCTCGGCCTCGAATGTTGCGGCCATCCTCTTGCAACGTGCCCTACATCCCTCCTTTTTTCTCTCTCTCTCTCTCTCTTCCCCTCCATCCTTATACCTTGTACAACAAGCGAGCGCACGTTGCCTCTCTATTTACAGGCGCAGGCTCTTTCTCCGCGATGGACACCGGAATCGGTCGCCGACCTGCTGTGAAATTTATACTCTTAACGTGGGCCGCAACAATGATCCTAGCAGCCTCCTTTTCCGTTTTTCCACGGCCGATTTGTATTATCGTTCAGGGCCTGGCCTTTATTCGCCTCGAAACGCGAATCTGCTTTACCGAGTAATTAGACCGTGCGCCGACCGGTGTACTTCTCTCTCTCTCTCTCGCTCGCTCGCTCGCTCGCTCGCTCGGTTTCGAACCGAGCGCGCACCTGGAAGATAGATCGATCGTTGGAATCGATGATCGGGAGGATCGATCCTCGACGCATTG